TTTTTTGTGAATACGAAACAACCCGTATGATTTGAAAACAACAAATATCGACCACCAGATATAGCAATGAATTTATGAATTTTTAAAAATTTTATTCTAAAGAAAGCATTTGTTCCAATGTATGAGATACAAGTTGACAGTCTCTTTTCTTACAAAGAAAAACTGCATGTTTTAGCTAGGAATGAAATTAGACTCAAAAAAAATATTGATAAGTCAGTATGTGAAACTTCACTATATACAATGTGAAGAGACTTTACGCTTATACTGTAAGATCTTATACACATAGATTAAAGAAACATCATTGTTGGAATACCTGAATTCCACCCTCATTTTCCTTCACGCTCATCTTTCTTATATAAAATGTATATCCACATATATGCCATATCGAAATGACAAGATCCTTCTTGTATGAAATTTAATTTTTACGATTCTTATGATTTAAATTAATCAAGTAAGAGGTACGAGTAATTGCAAATAAGAATATCACTGAATTTCATCTTCATTTTCTTTCAAACTTTCCGTAAAAAGTATAAAAATATCATCTCAAAGCGACAAAACCGTACACATCTTCTTTTTTTGATCGAACTTCCACGACTCTTCAAACTCAAGAGGTAAGTAATTGAGGAACGCCTAAATTCTACCCTTGTTTCCCTCTTTCCTTAGTCTCACTTTCCTCACGTGCAATGTATAAAAACACCGTCTGAATACGACTGAGCCGGACTTCTTTCCTGCGTGAATCGAATTTCCACGACTTTTTCAACAGTCAAATTAACCGAGTATGCTTTCAAGGCGAGAAGAACGACATTGAGGGAACGCCTCGAAACGTGGAAGAGAGCGACTTAAAGGAATTTCTCGGTTGGAGAAGTCACGCGCGGTTCGATGGTTGGTACTTACGGAGGCACGAGGTCGCCCACAAACCGCGGCACACATGTTCGCACACCGTGACGATAGATCACGCCGCAGTGATATCTAAGGCAACGCGCGTCGATGATCACGAGGAAAACAGCACGTACGGTGGCTACTCGAACGAGCTCGGGGACGGTGTAATTTATGCATTTACGTTCGTTGCGAAATAATCGTAAACATACTGCACATTTGTCGGGGTGAAGCGGCGCGAACGAAATGCGGAGGAAAGTACGAGAAGTGCGCCGTATTTTCCATACGTGCGTGAATTAATAGGCGTTTACTTAATGAATCGGCTACCTAAAGGGTGGTACTACTGGTTTTTTCTTTTTTCTTTTTTTCAGAAAAAAAGTGTGCTTTGTCTGGGGAGCATCTTAATCTGAAGGTCCAAAAAAAAAAAAAAAGACATTGTCCTTTAGGACAACAGCATAGAAGAGCTCTGTGTGTATAAAAAGGTCCCGAAGCTCTCCCAAAGTATGGAGGACGGCCATCGTGGAGATTAGTCGGTAAAAATCCGACACTAGCTGGGTCTTCCCTTAAAAGACTCATGTGTCTTATGAAGATTTCCTCTACATAA